GCCCCCGGCCGAGTCGCTGGCGCCCCACGACGTCTTCATCGCGGTGAAGACCACCAGAAAGTTTCACCGCGCGCGCCTCGATCTGCTGCTGGAGACCTGGATCTCGCGCCACAAGGAGATGGTGAGCCCCCACGGCCTGGGCGGGGTAGGGGGGTGCCGTCTTGTGCAGCCGGTGGCAGTATCCGATGGGCGCCAGGCTGCACATCTGTCCAGCTACCGGGACTATGTGGGGGTAGTGACGCCAGTCCATCCCTTTCCAGCCCGGTCTGCCTGATGGGGCCACTCTCCCCGTTGAGTTGTGCAAGTGTCAGAGGGGGACCCGACCCCATCCAACTTCCAGAGCCCTGGATGGTGTGAATTGATGCTACCAGCTGCCATTGCTTGGGGTTGGTGCTCTGTGATGTTTCTCCCCCCCCCCCAAGCATTGGAGTGCATTAATAAGGTGCTATTGTCCCCAAACCTCCAGAAGGCAGATTCTTCGTGAGGCATCCACCTGGGCTCAGACCCTGCCCTGAGGAGGAAGACTTTTTCCTGAGTGGTGGAGTGGGGGGTTAGAACCCCCGGTATAGGGCTGGTCCCTTCTCTCATGAGTCTTTTCTATGGGATGGGGGGCAAGTCATTGTTAGAGATAATTTGGAGTTGGGGTGTGTGTTGGTGAGCCCTGGAGAATCCCTTTCCAAAGAGAACACTGGGGTTTGGGGGTCTGTGCAGAGATCCTGTCCCCAGAGCACAGGAGTCTTTGGAGCCTTGAACTTTGTGCTTACTGCACCCTAGTTGAGCATTGACTTCCTACACATAATAAAGACACACCCCACTTTGAAAATCTCCCCCGAGGCTGCAGCAGAACGGTTGGGTTGGGGCGGGACGGGGCAGTGTGGGCCCTGCCAGGGGAGGGGTAGTGAGGGAACAGCCGTGGGCTGGGAGATTCAAGGGACTAAGTGGGCATCTGGGGTGAAGCTGAGGGACTCTTGACCAGGGTGAGGGCTCAGAGAGGACCTCACACCCCTTCCTCCCTGTTTAAACCTCAAGGCCTGGGATCTTCTGGCGTGGAGGAGCCCTGTTTGGGGACAGGGTTCTGGTGAGGTCATGATGGGGTCCGGGGGCTGGGGGTGGGGAAGGGTTCTGTCTGGTTCCAGTGTGGGGAGGGGGCCCTGGGAGCCCCGTGGCAGCCTCCTGGGAAAGCAGCAACCCCTTTCCCAGGGGCTCAGCGGGCTGGCGGGAGGGGGCGGCGGGGGCCGTGGGTTTTGTTTGGCCGCCGGGCCGTTAGGATTCCCAGCGCCCGGCGGCTCTCACGCCGGCCGCTTGGGCAAGGTAACAAAGCCCCTTTCTCCAACGGAGAAAGGCGTCCGGCCTCTTGTGCGCAGCTATGCGCTCCATGGGAACCGCCACTGCGTGCTGGCCACTCAGGTTGCTTGGTGATGAGAGGGCCGCCGGGCCCCCCCCCATCCCTGACTGACAGCCCTTGTGGGGCACCATCCCTGAGCCAGGCACCCTACCCCCCAGGACCCTGCCTCCCTGCTGGGTGACCTTTGGCAGCATTCGGCTCCTGCTGGGCCACCAGCAGCTCCGAGGGAGCACCTCTCGTCTTGGACTTGGGGGGCTTTCTCCAGCAGAGGGGATGTGGTCGAAGGGTCTTGGGTACCAGTCCCAAGCCCAGGTGGGTAATCTTGGGCAAGACCTGAGGCCTCTCTGACCCTCCGTCGCCTCATCTCTGGAAGGGGACTGGCAAAACCTGGAGGCAGAGGGAATGAGCCCAACAGTTACCCAGGGTCGGGGTGGGGGCCGTCACTCCCCCGGGCCTTGAGGTCCCCATTGAAGGGCCACTCAGGTTTCCTTCTTGCCGGCTGAACCCACCCAGGAGAGGCTGCATCTGCCCCCAGCATCGGCTCATGTGTCACAGCAAGCCGAGGCTGCATATCGCGTTGTGGGGGAGGGGGTCCTTGAAACTGTCATGACCCAGGGCCCTCTTCTTCCAGTCCTGCGCATGGTGAATCAGGCCCAGTCTGATGGGGGGCACGCAGAGAAGTCAGGGCTTTGGTGGGGGGAAACCCAGAGAGGCTGTGCAAGCTGAGAGTGGGCATCTGACCCACGTGGAGGGTTGGAGGACTTCCTGGAGGAGGTGCCATTTGAGCTAGACAGACAGGACCAGCATGGAGCATGTGTAAGAAACTTCCAGCAACTGGAGTGATGGTGGGTGGGGGTTGGTCAGCAGAGGCCACACTGAGACAGTCCTCAAAGTCCAGGATGAGGGGCTGGACCTTCGGCCCCCACATCCCTCCCCCACCCCTCCCAGGAGTGGGCCAGGCTGCAGCGGCTGCCACCACAGTGGCCACAATTGCTGGGGGAGAGCTTGGCATCCTGTGTTTCTTTGAATCGCAGCTCCAGGAACAATGTCGCTTCCTGTGGGTGTCCCCCCGCCCGCTCTGGGCCAGCCCTGCCGCCCTCGCTGCCCTGCTCTTCCTCCTCCAGCCCCATCGTCGGGGAAGTGGGGAGGAGGCCTGGCCGGCCAGGCGGCGGGGTGGGGCGGGCTCAGTCCCGGAAGGCACTTGGGGCTAGGCTGGCACCACGTCTGCCCCAGCGTATGACCACAGGCTGGAGCCTGCCCCTCTCTGGTCCTCAGCGTCCCCAGTGTCCGCTCAGGTAGTAATGGTGCCCACCTCTCAGGGCCGTTAGGGAGACCAGAGAAGGGAGTCCGTGTCCGTGCTTTGCTCTGGGTACAGGTGAGCTCTTGTTGTGCCCATTTGACAGAAGGGGATCCTGAGGCTCTGAACCGCCAGGCAGCCTGTCCCCTCCTCTGCCAGTCGCTCTGATGTAGGGAGACGGGAGGCCTGGCACCCTCACACCCCCACAGCCCCACCCTCCCTTTACTCCTCTCCAGGCCGCCCGCCTTGCTCTCCCCCCAGCTGAACAAAGGTGACTTTAATCTCCGTAGCCTTGGGCTGGGTTTTTAGGGCACCACCAGAGCGCGGGAGAACAGGCCCCGCTTGATCTCATTAAGAAAGCATTTTCCTTCTAATCCGGAGACGGCAGCAGCGCGTCTGCACTGGCCGCCTCAGCCTCCCACAGCATTCCTGGGCTGCGATGCTGGGGAGTGGGCGGGGGGCTGGGTGCGAGTCCGGGCGTGCGGGCTGCCTTGGGGTGCCTGCAGGGCTCTGGAAGGAGGGGCTGCGAGTATGGAGAGGGTGTCCACCGGGCCTGCCCCTTCCCCAGCTCACAACAAGGTGTGATCGGCACCTTGTGGCTCCGCCTGAGTCTGGGCTCCGGTCTGGGGTCAGGCTGGGCAAGCAGCCGGGGCCGCCGAAAGGAGGGTGGGGACCCCAGCTGGGTCTCCCAGGTTGCTGGGTGTGTACTGTGCTCTGGGCCTGCACATGCTGGATCCTCCCTTGGACCCATACGAGGACACTGAGGTCTGGTGGGCATGGAGGTGGGGGGTCTCCTGCTGCCTGTGCTCAGAGCACCCGCCCCCACCAGGCCCCAGGCTTTGCATTCAGCCAGGCCTGGGTGCGCTGGGCTGCACGCGCTGGGCGGGCCAGGCAGAGGAAGGAACATTCCTCCCCGTGTGCTGACGGGCCCAGGCGGGTGCTGGCAGCTCCTGGCTCCGCCCCGGTGCCCCCCCACCCCTTCCTCGGAGCGATCCTGGCAGGGGTGGCGCTGTGTTGGCCCAGGTAGAGCCTTGATGTGGCCTTGGGCAAAGCCTGTCTGCCAGCCTGGATTTCCTTGCCTGAGCAGGGGGGTGGGGGGGGGTGCTGATCTGCAGGCTGGCGCACCCGCCGTTTCCCGCCTCAACCCTCCTGACCGCTGGAGTTTCCAGAGCACTGTGGTGCCTTCTTAGTCTCAGGGAAAGTGACCTGGCCGGCTAGTCACACCGGCCGGGGCGTGGGGGGGCGGCCTTGAAGGCCCAGCCCAGCCCAGTTAACCAGGCCAGCTGTATGGTAATGGGCAGCGCGGCCACTCCCGCTTAACGCGGCCGAGTTAAGGCCAGCCCGGCGCCCCTCGCCGTGCGGCCCAGGACAAAGCTGGCGGACAATGCCTGGTGATTCATCCTCCCTCCGGGCCCTTTGTCCGCCAGGGCTTGGCAGCCGCCCAGCAGAGGCCTTTGTCCCTGACTGATTGAGACTTGGCTTCCCAAAGCCGACCTCCTCTGCCTGTCCCCCCCCCCCACGGCCCTCTGCCCCCTCCCGCAGGCTGGGTGCTGTGTCAATAAGGGTGTGTGCCCTGCCAGGTGTGCCGGGCGGGCGAGGAGCCGGTCACCTGGCGGGTGGGCGGGGCGCCCCACCTGGCTCGTGCCAGCACAGCCGCCGGGCGACCTTGGGCCCAGCTGTCGACATGGGAGGGTGGGGTCTGCAGGAGTCCCGGCCCTGCTTCTGTTTAGGCTGGACACTTGAGACTACCTACATGGGTGCACGTGGGGAAACTGAGGCCCACGGGAGGGTGGAGAGTGGGTGTGACTGAGCTGTAGCTGCTGAAGCCTCAGGGTGCCCGGGCCTGCACCCCCTCAGTGGCCCGGGGCTGGGGGACCCAGAGCCGCCTGTTCAAGGCCACGTTTCTCCTTCCAGACGTTCATTTTCACCGACGGGGACGATGAAGCCCTGGCCAGGCGCACGGGTGAGCCCTGGACCTGGGGAGGCCGGGGGGGCTCCACTCCTGGGAGGAACTGTCCCCTCCCTCCTCCGCTCCCCCCTCCCCTCCGGAGAGGTCACGGAGGCCACGGGCCAGAGAGGGCAGTTTACTCAACTGGTTTGCTCAATGCCCCGCCCCATCACTGGGGGGGGGGGCACCCAATTCTCATGCAAATGAGGTCCTTTCAGCTCCCGGGGCCCTTTGAGCTGATGTGGCGGCAACAGGTGGCCGGTGCTGGGAAAAAGCCGCCTGAATGGGCAGGGGCGGGCCGGGGTTGCCCCGGAGGGGGTTGGGCTGGGGGTGGGGGGAGTGTGATCACCGGGCGGGAGCCCTGTGCTGGGGAGGGGGCAGTGGGAGGAGGCCGCCGCAGGGCACAACTTGAACCCAGGGCGCCCTGGGACGGTCACCCGCTCCGTCCCGCTCTGCTCTCACGGGTGGGGGGGTCGGCGGGTGTCGACCGCTGACCTCTCTGAGCCAGCTCGGACCCGCTTACAGCCCCTCCCCCGCTCCCAGGCAACGTGGTCAACACCAACTGCTCGGCTGCCCACAGCCGCCAGGCGCTGTCCTGCAAGATGGCGGTGGAGTACGACCACTTCATCGAATCGGGGAGGAAGTGAGTGTCCCGAGGAGCGCGCCCCGTCCCCTGCAGGTCCCCGCCCTGGCGGCCCGCCACCCTTGACGTGCTCTCTCTCTCTCCCTCTCCCGGTGGCTTCTCCGCAGGTGGTTCTGCCACGTGGACGACGACAACTACGTCAACGTCAGGGCTTTGCTGCGGCTGCTGGCCGGCTACCTGCACACGCAGGACGTGTACATCGGCAAGCCCAGCCTGGACAGGCCCATCCAGGCCACAGAGAGGGTCAGCGAGAACAAGATGGTGAGTGCGCCGCCCTCACGGGCCCGAGCCGGGTGGCCAGGACGCCTATGGGGTCCCTGGAGCCTGGGGCGAGGGTCTCACCACGCTCCCCTCCCGCAGCGCCCTGTCCACTTCTGGTTTGCCACTGGCGGGGCAGGCTTCTGCATCAGCCGTGGGCTCGCCCTGAAGATGAGCCCGTGGGCCAGGTGAGTGCCCTTGGGCCCCGGGGTGAGCCTGCCCTGGGTCCCAAGGCCTTCCCAGCGACGGGTGTCCCCAGCCTCACATGCAAGGGCGGGCTGAGTCACAACCCCCCCCCCCCCCACACACACACCCCACTGGTCACTACCATCGGGCAGGACTCCTTTCTCTGCTCGCCCGGTAACCCCGACTCAGAATTATCCAGCCGGTTCAGAGGAGGGTGCTGTGCGGGGCCTCTGGGAGGGACGGAGCTGCTGACGGGCCGGCTGGTCAGTGTTCTGGTCCACATCCTGCTCTGCAGGGGGCATGTTCCCCTCCTCTCCTCCCAGGTCTGGCTTCTTCATCCCCGGCTGGGTTCTGGCTGGCTGGGTCCGACTGAGCTCCCAGTAGGTGTCCAGCTCCCGCCTTTGCTCATGGGTCGGGCCCTGTCCTCCTGCAGCAGGGGCCACTTCATGAGCACAGCCGAGCGGATCCGCCTGCCAGATGACTGCACCATCGGCTACATCGTGGAGGCCCTGCTGGGCGTGCCCCTCATCCGCAGCGGGCTCTTCCACTCCCACCTGGAGAACCTGCAGCAGGTGCCCGCCTCGGAGCTCCATGAGCAGGTGCGCCTCCCAGGCCCGGGAGGGAAGGGGAAAATCCAACCAAACG